CCTCTTGCTATAAAATATTTAGCTCCAAAAATAATTGACAATAATCTATAAAGATATGATAAAAATTTCATAGTTGTCTAAAAATATCCCTGTAGCCTTATCGAAAAAGAATCTCATTTGCTATAAGGGCTTTTTAGATATCAGTCCCTTAAATATGAGCAATTTTTATATTACTCCCTTACATCTGAGTATTTTGATATTAGTCCTTCAAATTGTCTTAAGTTGTTGATATTAGTCTTTTTGTTAGGTTTTATGTTAAAAAAATCTAAACCATGGTTGGGTTAGTATTAACTATAGATGGTAAGTTACCAAAATACCTTCAGTGTAGTTCGCCCCCACTAATTGACATTCTCTCTCTCTCTCTCTCTCTCTCTCTCTCTCTCTCTCATTGCATGTTTTGATTAGAGTTTAAAGATTTGGGTTTGTAGTAAATTCGGGGATGAGTTAGGGTTTAATCTTGATTAGGTTAAATTATGCAATGATGAATTTTAATATGATTAGATTTTAATTATGCATTGATGAATTCTAATTTGGTGAGGGGCATAATTGTCTCATAAATGCAACAGTTATAGATAACAGAATATTCCCATAATTGTCCCATAAATTCTAGTAGTTATAGATTTAATACATAACTACTAACTTGAAGGACTAAAACCAACAACTTAAAGAAATTTGAGGGACTAATACAAAATACTCAGATTTGAGGGACTAATACAAAATAGCTCAGTTTTAAGGGACTAATATTTAAAAACCCCTTGCCATAATTGTTGATGATTATTTACTTTTGCTTTACACTAAGATACAATTACAATCTATAGGATATGAGTTATTTAACTCAAACAAGAATCCTCAACATAACAAATTAAGGACTTAGTAAAAGTACTAGAAAATTAAGAGATGATGCATGGGATCTTCGTATCTAAGCACGAGAAATCTAGACTTTTATGTCATGGATCTCGTTACAACTTGATCCATTGGATAAGGCCAAAATTATTAGGCTCGAACTCTGCAAAGCGACGTGTATCCATTCACTTTATTTCCAACTAAAATAATCCTCTCACAAAATATTTACAGTTTTTTTTTTTATCTAGCAATTGCGACACCAAACTTATATTCAACAATTAAAGTGACGTAATGACGTGCCTCAACCGGCCGGAAGGACAAAGTCGATTAGATAAAAATCATAAAATGTACTAAGATTTGTAATGTCAAAATAAAAAACAATAATTATTTACTCATTTTCCGCATAATTGGGCGCTAGCGCAGCGTGCATATTGCGGCAATGGGAATTTTTCAAACATAACATTATTAGTATTATTGTTACTATTGTTATATTAGTTGGACGCAACGCAATCATTGAATATTCAAAGGAGGTTCGACAATTTCAGTGCTTGTCATGAACAGGTCAAATAATTAGAGACATAAGTGGTCAACTAATTATGACTAAGCACGAGACAATTTAAAGCAATCCAACATCACGGTTTTTGCCAAAGAAAAGAAATTTGCCACTAACACGCGAAAAATATCCCACTAAATACTCGTTAAATTTTCAAAAGAGTAGTTTTAATTCGTTTTCCCGATAGTGCTTAAATCCAAACTTTCCTTAAACGCATACGAGGTTGTGACGGTTTCTTAAAATAAACAAGCAGCTATCTTAATCTTAAATAAATAAACTTTGTGCTTCGGCTCCGTGTAATTACTAAAATCAACTCGCATCTATTCAAAATTTCAAAAATTTTGATTAGGTATAGAACTTAAATGGAGGAAGCGCCCTGTAAAAATCAGAATCGCTTGATAATTCCCTTCGTTGGTGCTCGATGAACGTTTTCGCGTTGATTGATTAATTAATTGACGCGTCGTCGCATTTTCATACGTATCCGCCGTGCACCACGTGCACGCTACCGATACGCATGTGCGTATGTTTTCCTAAAGGAAGCAAACGCGTACGCATGCGCCGTGCCGTGAAATGCAGGGGCACGCATCTGGATACCAAACACGAGGAAGCGCGCGGAGAGCTCTCCCTCGCGAACGAGCGGCCGTCCGCTAGCGACGCAAGGCCGAAAAGGAAGAAAAAAGGGCCGGCGCAGTGCAAGAAAGTGATGATTGTTGGGCTCTGATACCACTTGTTGTGCGTGGCGGAAGCCACAAAACCAAACCGATATGCTTCGAGAAACCAAATCAATCAAACGAACGAGAGAGAAGGGCCAAACGAACCACAAACTCAAACACAAAGTTTAACGTGATTCGGCAAATTGTCTACGTCCACGGGGCAAGAAGGGAATGTGGTTTTCACTAATAGAGAAGAATGGTACAAACTGAGATTACAAATCGCACAAAACAATCAACTAATCTCACCAACAAAGCTCTTAATCTCTCCAAATAAAACCCTAAACAATAGCTCAGAAAATATCTTTTTTCTGTGCTCCAAATACCCCCCCAACAATCACCAATCAAAGCCAAAGAAACCCTAATTCTTGTTTGGTATTTATACCAAACTCAAATCCCAAACAGAACAGGAAACAACAAAACAGGCCCAGACCCGACTCACGGTCGACCGCCGCACCACGTGCGGTCGACCGGATCCAACGACCGAGACATAAAATCGACTACAGTGTCGTGCGGTCGACCGTCGCGCCACTCGCGATCAACCGCCAAGAGTCCTGATTCATACGCAGGATCCGTGCACGAATTCGGTCGACCGATCCTACAGGAGGCGCGGCGTGCGCGCGCGGCGGTGTGGGGGGCAACAGCGGGCGAGAGGGGGGCCATGCATCGCTAAGCGTACGGCGTATCGGCTAGGATATTAAATAATGAGAGATCAGAAGACTCGCTTCGAGAAAAGTAGTTTGGGGTCCGCAAGTATCGTGCATGTGACCGGCCCACCACCGCCCTCGTTGTCCGCTTGCTGGGGGTCCGCTGCCAAACTGTTCCTTTCAGTTTGGAGACTCGCGGTAATGAGGAGTGGTCCGAGCTCCCAAGTATGTATGAAGCGTAGTTGTGATTGGGGCAGTTTGGACGACGAGTGCATTCGCGGCATTAATTACATACATAGTTTTTTAATGCTCGCTGCCGAAACGCTCTTCGGTTTGAGCACAGATATCATATCACCCCTTCGCTCTGTTGACGTGACCCTTCGGCAATTGCTCCTGTCCAATAACACGGTAGATCGCTGCGTTGTGAAAATAGCTGTGGAATTTAGTTCGGAGGCTAAATATCAATATTGGTATCTTAATTCCACCTCATTACCAAGAAGGTATTTTAATTAGGCAAACCTGTTTTAAAACATTTTAATTGATTCAACTTACCAACAAGGCCATTTTTCTCGTCGGCGACCAGTTTTCCGGCGAGAGCTCTAATTGATTCAACTTACCAACAAGGCCATTTTTCTCGTCGGCGACCAGTTTTCCGGCGAGAGCTCGTCACGTGCGTGGCACGTGATGACTTAAACGGCGACCAGTTTTCCGGCGAGAGCTCGTCACGTGCGTGGCACGTGATGACTTAAACTATTTTTTAGCTATTGATGTGGCACAGATCTGTCCTATTTTGGGTGAATTGAGATTTTTAGAGGGTTAATTCCCGCCTTTAAACACAGCCACGTCAGAAAATCCGTGCCACATCGGCGGTTAAAAAACAGTTTAAGTTATCACGTGCGTGGCACGAGCTCTCGCGAAAACTGATCGCCGACGAGAAAAACGGCATTGTTGGTAAGTTGAATCAATTAAAATGTCTTAGAACAGGTTTGCCTAATTAAAATATCATTTTGATAAATGGGGTGGAATTAAAATACCAATATAGGTATTTAGCCTTAGTTCGGATAACATAACACTAGGCTAATTAATAATAGCCATATCGATCCTTTGTACTCTAGAAAGTTCGGTGGTCACTAGGAGGTATATGTTCAATATCTATAATTAAATAAAAATAACAAGGAACCTCTTTGCAACTCATTAGCGACAAGTACAAACAACACGGTGAAGATGATTTAGATTGAACATGAAATGGTTTTAAGTGTTAATGAAAAAAAATAAAGTCAATACCCCCTTTATAGTACATGAATATAATACAATAAATACTATAATATTTTATCAAAGTAATTTGTTATAAAATTGATTAATTTTCCTAAATTCGAAATGTGGAGAGATTATGTCTCGGCAAAGTCACTAGAAACCCAAACGAGTTTCCCCATGTAAGGAGAAAGTGAAGCTACATTGCGATTCATGTGACCATGGAAACAAAGATTCTCTTATTATGTCAGGAATGGAATTGCCAGGAATAACCAACCAGGAACCTCCTGGAAGTTGAGGGGTGAGCTGCAGCTGGAAGAGGAAGGACTGGACATGAAGAAGAAACGGAGGACTGTTATGCAAGTTTATATACATTGTAATAAATGCTTAGGAGTCTGTCAAGTTTATATACATTGTAATAAATGCTTAGGAGTCTGTCAAGTTGGTTGCAAACAGTTAATTCTGTTGTGTCTGTTAAATGAGCTCGTGCACGTTTCCTGTTTCTGTGTTTTGGAGCGGAGGTATAAAGAAGAGAATGTACATTAAAACCAGCATGAATGAAATTGGGTTCTCTTCTTCTCCTAAATTCTGAGTTCTATTCTTCTCTCTTTCAACTCATCTCCCTTTACTGTCTCAATTCTCTCTTATTCCATGTTCTCATGACCTGGTAGTTTTAACCATGAAAGGTCAAGTCAATCGATATGGATAGACGCCCTATAAAGTTTCCTACCATATACGTGGTTGAGATCAAAACACACGCGTAGCATAGTGTAGAGCTAATCTTGCTGCCTCCTGGACTTGGGTGTTACCAAATAGCCGCATATATTTCTGACATTGAATCATTGATAGTTCAGATACAAGTTAAACACTCATAAAAGGACACAATTATGTGAAGAAAGGTTTGCCTCCTAGTTTCTGACCGATCAACAGACAGTTCAATGCGCAACATGGCATGTTCTCACATGTTCTACAAGAAAATATTCAACACGACGGAACTTCTAAATAAAACCACTGTGTGAACTCATAATGAATGTTTAGCAATGATCATTTTTTTAAAATAAATAAATAAATAAATAATGTTGATAATAATGTACATCTGATCATTATAACATGCTCAAGGATCTCAGCTTCAAGACAGCACATGGATTACATGAAGGCTATATTCCATGGGGTTTATAAAGTCTTTGATGTTGCTAATGATACCCTTATCATATGGATTCGAAAACCTTACTTCTGAAGAGTTCCCTGAGGAAAAACATACATAAAGAGCCACCAATTAGTAACCAATTAAATTCAAGCAGAATCTTGTCTAGTTTTAATTTGATTTCAATATATTTACCTGGCTGAGACTGGACGACTAGTTGAAACTCAGGATATTTCTTCCAGTTAATCTGATTACTGGCAAGTATTAACATGCAGAAGCAAGATACACAGAAGCAGCAATCATAAAAGGAACTAGAGAACTTACCCATTCATCAGTTTTGATATTAGCACAGATGCAATATATATTCCATATCAGGAATACCACCTAGTAAATCGGACAAATTGTCACTATCAGGGGATATTAATAGCATGTTACTGCTATGAGAATCTTAGTTACATAAAATTTCCACAAAACGGCTACTAAAGCGGTAAACTGGACAATTTAAATCACAAAGCTAAGAGCTCACACAGATCAGAAATAGAACTTTTTTGGAGAAAAGCCACAAGTTGATGAGCTTACGAATTACTCTGAGGAGCATCTAGCAAACAGTAGCACCATAACACACTAAACTGAACGGAGAAATGATCTTGTATAACATTTGATGTTTAAGACGTCGTCAAGGAGCTTAAAGCAAGTTATCATAAAGCTGACCCAAAATGACAGCAGTGACATCATTCATCTTCAATAAAATTTATATATTTTTGGTAGTACGCAACGTGGTGGCATAGAAGGGAGAATTCTCATCAAGGGTATCATGGTGCTGCCTCCTATATCCAAGCTAGAAGTTGAGTCCATGAGTGGAAATATCGGGCTTGGGCTAATCCTATAAAGTAGTATTCTTGGACAATTGTCCTAGTCCTACCAATCCTGAACCAATACCACCACTCCCTTGGGTTGAATAATAACAGGATGTGGCTGGATTCATCAGGATTTAAGTTTACTTAAGAACTTCGAATCATGAAACGTTTGGATCAATTTATAGCCTGTAGGTAATAATTTGGATCGAATTAGAATCTCAATCTACCTATGCATTTTGAATTGGTTTTGATCATCAATCGCAGCTGGGTAGTTCTCAACAACTACCTGGTTCTTCAAAGACCACCTACTTCTGTAAAAATTTCTCTCCTCTCAATTGTAGGTGCTTGAACCACATCAGATGAAATTTAAATATAATACTTAAATAGTTGCATTAGTTATACAAGAGTTTGGCATCCATTAACTCAATGAATTCAACACAAAATAAAACAAATAGATATCGTCTTGGCATGACAAAAGCATCATATCCGACTAAAGCTTAAGGGGGTGTTTGTTTGCATGCAAGTGAAAGATGAAAGTGAGGAAGTTACTTTCATTTAACAATTAAGGTGTTTGTTTTCATGTAAGTGGTTATGAAAGTGAGATGTAAGAAAGTTGCCACATAAGATTTAATACAATTTTGACTTCCCCTAAAAAAGTGGTGAAGTCACATGAAAGTGACAAAAAGGTAACTAATTTAATTAAATAATTTTAATTATATTTTCTAATTAATCTTATTTTGACACATCATCTTCACATTGCACTTTCGATAATAATTTAATTTTTCAAACAAACATTGTATTTCACTTGCGTGCTGACATGGATGTAAAAGTCATTTGCAAAAAAAAGTAACTTACATATTTTAAATTCACTTTCAGATTGCCAAACACCCCCTAAGAGTAATATGAGTTGGTTGGCTGACCTGCCATAAAAGCTGTAGGACTGCAAAAAGCAGCGTGCTGATGACAACATTACCAGGAATATCGTTCTGCAAAAAGTATAGCACTTATAAGATTAAAAATGCAGTGAAGTGCTGTAACTAGTTCTTGGATTTCAGAATTGTGAACACAAATAATGGCGAAAAGGAAGCATGACAGAAGCAGAAGACAAGGGGGAAACATGAAATTTGATACTTGGAAGAGATATCTTGGGGTCAAATACATAACAGATGGGCAAAGAGTTATGGGAACTCGGTAATCAATTTATAACCAAAAAAAATGAAATAGCGGCTAAATTGTTGCTGGTAATCACATACTCTCTTTGTACAAATCTTGTGACGGTAAACTACAGAACAAGCTAAACTTGCAGAAAATATAGCATTACCGTGTACCTAAAGGAACCAATTCCACACTCGTTGCAGCCTAAGAAAGAACACAAGCTGAGGTTCTTTCTTGGTGTCAAAGGTGAAAATTATGGTCATACCTAAGCTGCCCTTTTTCCCATGTAAGGGAAAGTGAGAGCATAAACGGCTATCTAAAGAGCGATTTGCACTACCAGCAAATGTAAACGAGGTTTGACCCCCGGTTGTATTTACTCACGCGACGGATGAGGTACCTTCTCGCTTTGCATTAGATGTGAAAATGATTAGTCACCGATGCAGAGTTGAAAACAATTTGTGATGTGAGACCTACCTTAAATCCTATTTTATCTGTGCTCAGAGATTTTGCAATATCTGCAATTCAGTAAAGTGATATTGAAAATTAGAACATGGAAATCAAGGTTTAAACGACATTGAAAATATTAAAACCGTATGACATACATTGAGTTGAAGATATTATATAGGAGGCCTCAGCAATGATAAATCCAACTAGAAGCATCATAAAGAGACGCTGATTCTTCTGACCTTGAAAAAGTTAAATGATTACTTTCAGCACTAAGCCACTAAATGGGAAGGGGGGAAACCATGAAATTGTTCATGTCAAAATTTCAACATAATCTTAGGTGAATGAAGAAAGTACCTATGCAATTTCCAAAAGCAGAGCAATGGTGATCAAATCCCCTCACACTGGTTTTACAAATCTTGCAATACCTAACCCTAGAGAACATTGACGAGTTCTGTAAAAAAAAAAATCAAAGTTAACAGTAATATTCCACAGGAAATAAAACAAACAATACGTAGACATACATCAAGACTGCCCTTAGACGCAAATCTAATTCGTGTTGACCATTGAATTGTTTCACACGCCATTAACTTATCCAAACAAAATTCCAACCTTTTACACTCATCCAACTTCTTTATCTCCTAGAATAATCCCAAAAAATTACACATAAGTCAAACTAAGTTTGGCAGGTATTACTGATAGGACCCATCTTTCTCGCTTCCAAGTAATCACATGCCACTGGTCTAAGTGCAGTTTGCCTTTACCAAGCCTCCAAGATACTTATCCCCCTTGACCAGATAAAATTGTACTAGCTTCTTTTATGCTAATGCTCATAAAGTGCCACTAACAGTCACCAAATACCATAAGGAATACCCAACATACCTACGAAGACAAGAATCCTTTTAGATAGAAGGTAAGGAAGCCTCTTGTAACCACGACAATATAAATAAGTGTTTTAAGTCAACGGTTGTTTCTCGAAAACAACTTGATTGTCACAAACTATGCTAATTCCTGACTACTGATTGGACAGAGACATTATTACTATGCACATGAAATTCCATTTTCTGACCTCATAGATATTGGATTCAGGAAGACCATTACGGCTATGCAATGCTGAAGAAGAGTCATTTGCAACTAATCCAGGATCACCAGAGAGAATTCTGAAAAAAAAAGGCTGTTCATTAATAACGTGATATTGATAGTTGAAGATAAGTAATAATTTGATAATACTTAATCTTGTGCCTCAAGGATCAACAATAAAATCGGCAACGATGCAAAGAAGTTATGCTTATTGCGGCAAATACTTGAAAAAAATTGCATGTTCTAATGGAAGCTAAAATAAACATGGAATCACAATTAATGGGAAACAACACAACAGTGTGTTGACTACTATTGCAGGTATAATAATAAATTAAAAGGCATGCCCTTATGAGTGTGTTGAGCTGACTACTACTGCAGGCATAATAAATCAAAAGGCATGCCCTTATTGATAAAAAAACAAAATTTTATATTTACTAAGATTATAAGCAAGAGGAGTGTAAATGAGGGTGCATGGCTTCATTAGCTCATGCAAGAAACCACTTTCCTTTTGTTTTTAATCTCAATTTAACACCTGTGTTAAATTAAGAAGCCCTGCTTGTACTAAACTGTAGGCTGTCTAAAAATCACAATAGATAGTTGATCCCCCATCAAACACCGATGATGGAAGTTACAATCTGACGACTTCCAAAAGGCTACAATTTGAGGACTTTCACGTAGAAGGTTACAATCTGACGACCTTCACAACAACTAATGAAAGCCCCAATTCAACAGCCTTCACAATCAACATCGGGAGTTACAATCTGACGACTCTCATATTTTATAACAGGCAAAGATCAATAAGCAATGGCCTTTGCAATGTTATAATGGACGAGGTTATAAGCCAACAATCTCTCTCAAACGCAGAAATTCACTTCTGTGTTTTTCAAGTTCAAAACGCACACAAGTGTGCGTTCCTTAGCAGGCGTCGAACTCTGTAACGCAGAGTTAAATCACGAAGCGCACAGGTAACGTGCGTTCTTCGACAGACTCGACTGCATCCCAAACTCTGAATGCAGAGTTGATCCTCAACGCACCAGTGACCTGTGCGTTTCCAATTTCAGAACGCATGCGGCCTGTGCGTCTCAAATCTCCAACAGAGATTTAACTCTGCGTCCTAAGTCTTGGACGCAGAGTTAAAGCCCAAACGTGGCCTGTGCGCCTGTGTTGCTTGAACTGCTGAACGCAGAGTTCAGCTCTGCGTTCTAACGCCCTAGCACGGAGAATCTGCCTGTGCGTTCAGCCACCAAGATAGGCCCAACTCTGTGTTTTTAGTCTAAAAACGCAGAGTTCGGGCCCTGAACGCTATTTTTTAGCGTTTGACTCGTTCAAAGCACGCAATGAACAGTTCCAGGAACTGTTTTTCCCCACGATTTGAGGGATTTTCGCCCCACTTAAAAGCGGATTAAGGGGGTAGTTACCACCCTTAATCCCCTATAAATACCAGAAACTCAATTGAGTTAAGGGATCGAATTTTCTCTCATCAACAAAGAGAGATTCGGTCAAAAGGCTTGCACATTTGAGCTCTTAGATTCTTCTTTTTGGGCAGCAAGGGGGAGATCGATGTTCATCCTCAGCAACGATCGACCATAGGAGCATTCCCTTGACTTATAACCGACTTTCGGTTCAAATCAACTCTTTTTCAAGAGTTCAAACTCGTTCAGGGTTATCAACTCGATCAGAGTTCAAAACTTGCTCTGCAAGTTCTTCTAAAACTCGTTCAGAGTTATCAACTCGATCAGAGTTCAAAACTTGCTCTGCAAGTTCTTCTAAAACTCGTTCAGAGTTATCAACTCGATCAGAGTTCAAAACTTGCTCTGCAAGTTCTTCTAAAACTCGTTCAGAGTTATCAACTCGTCAAGAGTTATTTTCAAAACTTGTCACGCAAGTTCTCCACAGCGTCAAATCGTGAGGAGAAAATCATGTTCCAGTGAATCAAGGCGTTCGGATCGTCAACGGAGAGCAAACTCGACGCGAGCATTCGAGGGAGGCATTCCATCGTCACCGTGAAGAACCCAGAATTAAATAAAGGAGAGAATCAAATTTATTCTCCTCTCTTTTGTAATCGGAATCCAAATTGTAATTGATTTTGAGAGAAATACAAGTCAAAATTTTCTTTCATTGTCTTTCTACTGCAAATTTTCCAACAAACAAAAGATGACGACTCTGTTGGGGACTAGCTTCTCTGACGAAGAAGTGGTGGTGCAATCCGACGTTCATCTCACTGGAACGACCGTTGAAACTCTGATTATCGAGTTTGATCAAGCCAAGTACGAGGAGGCCCTCTCCTCAGGATCCCTTAGCCCCAAGGTTATGCGCAAGATCCACAAAGTTTCCGAGGAGACTAAAGCTCCAGTTGTAGCCAACTCATCTAAAGACTATCTTCCATGGGGGTTGCACTGTTCATACAGTCCCCTCTCTAAAGGAGAAGACTTGATTTCGGCACAACGCCAAAAAAGCCGATCCTACAATCAACGCAAACTCCGCGTTTATGAGCCTCAACATGAGCTCTGCAGAAGCCAAGCTAAACGCAACCATCAGGTGTGCGTTTCCCAGATAGAACGCAGCTTTCAGAGGCGCGTTCTAACATCAAAACGCAGACCTCAAAACTACGTTGATCTGGCTGAACGCAACTCTCAAGAGTGCGTTTCAGAACCCAAACACAACTCTCAGGAGTGCGTTCTATCATTTAAACGTAGACATCAAACCTGCGTTGATCTGGCTGAACGCAACTCTCAAGAGTGCGTCCCAGAACCAAAACGCAACTCTCAAGAGTGCGTCCCAGAATCAAAACGCAACTCTCAGGAGTGCGTTTCAGAATCCGAACGCAGATCGCAGGACTGCGTTTCACTAGCAAAACGCAGACTTTGGTCTTGCGTTAATCAAGCTAAGCACGACCCTCGTGTTCCTTCTTTGGAACACAATGTGATTCGTCGTGTTCAAAATGATCAACATGGATTTAAAATTCATGTTTACCAAGAACCAGTCCCATCCTTTAACGGACAGGGGGTTCCATCTTTACCCTCACGCTCCGTGAGAGGTTCATCCCAAGTCTCCGATTTGCGGGAATTGCTATCGATGTTCAACCGACCGACGAATGTCGTTTTGCTCAATAATCGACGACATCCTCACAGGAAGAAGACTTTAGAGGATGAATATCTTGGAGTCACTTCCAACATGGTTGGTAAAGGGAGATCATCAACCCTTAGTTCTGACGAGTCAGAGACAGATCGTTCTCCAAGCGTTAGAGAAATCACTAACGAGTTTGAAGGAATATACCAACGTACTCGGACGCGAACAGGAGCCATTCCCCCTGTCAACTATCGGAGTTTAGCCAGAGGAACTAATTCCGATGACGAACACTCTGTCATTGCGGAGTCCCTATCATCAAGCTCTTTCGTTGGGCATGAGAGCTTCGCCCACATGGCAGAACATTCTGAAGACCTTTCAAAGAGACTTGATGAACAGGAGGCCATGCTCAAATCTCAACAGGAGGCCATCAATGAACTCATGGCCATGTTGACTCAAATCATCGCAGACAAGGCCAAATCTCAGGAGACAGATTCGCCGCTTAGGCAAGAATCTTCCCGGAGAGGGAAAGCATCTTCATCCCGACCTCACACAAGCAAAGGGAAGGGGAAAGTGGTTGATGATGCGGTTTCTGACCAAGAAGCCCACAGCCCGGAATCTTCCTCTGATGAAGGAAAAGAGACTGAGAATGAGCAGAATCTTCAGTCTGCCAAAATGGAAGAATTGGAAGCCCGACTCAAAGCCATTGCTAACAGAAGCGAGCTCCAAGATGAGGGAGTTATCAGACCCTATCCTGACGAATGGGATGCAGCCATTTATCCTCCAAAGTTCGAGGTCCCGACGCTACAAACTTTTGACGGCACTGGATCACCGAACCAACATATTTATCATTTCAAGTCACAGACTGGAAATGTAATATCAAATGATGCCATACTGGCTTGATTGTTCATTGGCACCCTCAAAGGAATTGCCTTTGAATGGTTCAGGAAACTACCTACCAGATGTATCCAAAAGTGGGCAGATCTAGAGAGACTATTCCTGTCAAGATTCTTTGAAGAGGATACAGAAGTCTCCATCCATACCCTTCTCTCTACTAAGCAGAAGAAGAGAGAATCAGTCAAAGCCTTCGTCAAAAGGTTTCGAAATATGGCTTTGCGTTGTCCGACAGGTATGACACAGTCTACCCTAGTACAAACCTGTCGACACAACTTGCAAACCGACCTCCTAGCTCGAATAGGAGTTGCAGAATGCCGTTCCTGGAGACAACTAATCTCTCAAGGCGAGCAGGCTCAAAAAATCATTGTCAGGATCAAAGCTGAAGAACCAAGTAGGCAGGATCAGCCCGAGCAATCAGACCAAGCCCAATCTTCTCCTGAGCAACTGGACCAGGCTCACTCTTCCCAGTCAGAAGGGAAAGATACTACGGCCACTGAAGTCAATCCTCTTCAGTAGGATGGCGGGTCCAACAACTATCACGTTAACAGTTACCTCTGATAGTCAAACTCATCAGATAATGGCCTACCTGGTGATGTGACTCTATTCCGACTTCATGAATAGTACCCCACTAGGTGATGTGCCTTGTCTACCTCTTTTTTATTCCCCTGCTCATCAATAGGATGATAAGTCTCCAAAGTTGCTCCAATCGCAACACAAATTCTTGTCACGTTAACAATACACCTCTGACAAAACCCACTTATCAATCCTCGTCAATAGGATGATAAGTCCCCAAAGTTGCTCCAATCGCAACACAAATTCTTGTCACGTTAACAATACACCTCTGACAAAACCCACTTATCAATCCTCGTCAATAGGATGATAAGTCCCCAAAGTTGCTCCAATCGTAACACAAATTCTTGTCACGTTAACAATACACCTCTGACAAAACCCACTTATCAATCCTCTTTAACAGGATGATAAGTCCCCAAAGTTGCTCCAATCGCAACACAAATTCTTGTCACGTTAACAATACACCTCTGACAAAATCCACTTATCAATCCTCTTTAACAGAATGATAAGTCCCCAAAGTTGCTCCAATCGTAACACAAATCCTGTC